CGNCACACACGCACACACGCACACGCGCACACGCGCACACGTGCACACACGCACACGCGCACACGCGCACACGCACACACACGCACACACGCACACACGCATACACGCACACGCGCACACGCGCACACGCGCACACGCGCACACGCACACACGCGCACACGCGCACACGTGCACACGCGCACACGCGCCACGCACACACGCGCACACCCCCCCACCCAACCACACCCACACCCACCCACACCCACCCACCCACACACACACACACACCTTCATGCTGTTCAACAGAAAGTCAGGAGTGAGGAAGTTGTCCAATTGGCAACGTCTGGCATAAACATCCTTAGTGATTGCTATAGTAGCATATTTTCCACAACAGCCAGGTGTGCATTTTGCCGTCGTACCAGGGCTTGTAAGGTACATTTTTATTAGAAGGGCGATTTTTAACATCTCTTCAATATTTGTTACTTTATTTTTTGGGCGAGGCCCCGGGCGTGAAGCGCCATTCGGTTCACTGCTGTCAGTCAGTCAGTCAGTCAGTCAGTGGCTTACATATCTCGCCCCGCAAAAAATAGCGTTTGAATGCTATATCCATTCTATATCGAAATGCCAAAGGAGACATTCCAGATAAATCGGAGCGCGACAAAGATAGCTTTCCATGGCTCCGAGTTCCAGGGAGCAAGTGGCTGCACCGGGGCCTCCGAATAGAACTCCTCCAAGCCCACCAATTGAAGGTTCAACATGCAAATAAGTGGGACTGCAATCAATTCCGTACGATTCTCGGGTCTTTGGGGGTTTAGGTCGTCTTAGACCTGGAACGTACATGGAAAGGCCATGCATCATTACACATGGATGCATGTTCAGACGCAAGCCATCCTGGCAGGTAGAGAAAACGTGCCCCAAATGAGTTCGTTCCTGACTTAGTACTGCCTGACTTAATTCCCTATTTATGTTTACTTTCATTCGACTTATACCATTGCGGAGTGACTTTCTTGGATTGCCAACTCGGCCTGTGCTGCTGAGGGCTCCACAACCTAGCGCCTCCAGACCAAAACCAGCACCCAACCACCCAGCAGAACAGGGCCTACTGCTGTTGTCCACTGAGGAGGGGATTACCATGGTGCCCGTAGTTCTATGGTCTCCAGCTCCCTATCAGAACTGTAGTAGCCATAGACATTAATGTCCATCTCCACCCCTAGCACAAGGGCCATAATCCCCATACAAACATGGATCGCACCACCCAGCTGCTGAATCCCACAACTGCAGAATGGCAGAGCTAAAATGCCACGGAGTCCCCTAACTGCAGCTAGAGCAGTAGCTACCGGCCCATGCTGGTCACCTCATGAACAGCCTGAATGTCCTACACAACCCCCTGAACGCCTGCATCTACCCTCAAATCATAGATCATCCGGTACCTGCACAATTCTGCTGTGTTGAAGTCGCGGGCACACAAGGTGCGCAAAGTAGTGCGGCAGAGCTGCTTGAGTGTAAGCACCCTGGGCAAAGACCTTCAACAGTGAATGCTGCATCTGTACGGCATTTCTGTAGTCGGCATGGATACCACGTACAAGTACACAAGTGGAGTTTTACAGTACCTGCTCAACATAGCGAACAGTTACAGCAAGATCGACCCTCCCCACCCTCGCTGCCCCTGCTACCACCCCGTGCTGCATGCAGACAGTAGCCGCCGGAGAGTATCACCCCACTGCCACCTGCACAGCAATGGGCATTCTCTGGGCTGTCGAGCTGCAGGCCCTGGAAGCAGACACGTTGCAACTCAGGCCACAATAGTCAGCCACAAAATTCGAGAAGTGAAGGAGCCAGGGCACCCATAAACAGGCACTGGCCAACAAGTGTGCACTCCAGCACCCACCATGCCTGGGGTGAGAGTACCTGGAGGCGTGCTCCACTGGGGAATGTGCAACCACCTGGCCAGCAGCAAGGCAGCCAACAGGTAGCAGCGAGCGGACCAGCAGGCCAAACCTGCAACTCTATGCCCAGGGCGCACTTGGATGCAGAACCAGTATGGGTAGATGAGCGTCAAAACCCAGCACGGAAAGTTCTGCCTGCCGAATATCAGCAACATGGACTTGTATGAAGTTGAAGGAGCTGTTGCCACAATTGAAGGCAGGATTTGCGCTTCAATAGCAGCAGATTATCCTGCAAGGGTCGACTCTGTGGCATGCACCGAGACAGCGCGTGCAGGATCCTTCATCCTGACCAGCAGCAATTGGGCATGTACCTAGGCTTCGGTAAAGAAACGGTGTTGCAGCAGCTGGACTTCCCAGCGTCCATAAGTGGCCCAAACTACACGGACGCGGTGTTCAACAGCCTGGCCAGCTGGGAGGTGCCACACCTCACAGGCCCTGGACTCCGGGAGAACACACACACGAGCCAGACTGCGACTGGATTCCATTGCAGTACCTAAAGAGGTTCCAGGTTCACGGGTTCAAATGGTTTGGCTCATGTAGGGGGCCCCAAGCCCTCATGGGCCATCCCTTCTACACACGCAACATTAACAAGTCCCGTTTCCCCGTGTGCTAACAGGGTAAGGGTAGAACACGCTGGGTGAAAAGGAGACGTACACGAAAGCATGGGTCATGGGTCTCCTTCAGCCCCCATTGCGCGGACGGACATGTAGACTTGGTTTAGGCGGTTCTGGGCGGTCCTGGTTTGGGTGTTCTACACGCGTCAAGCGGTGCCGCCGTCTCAGTGCGGCACCCCCAGGAAGCCGAAGAGTACCGTAATATTTTTGCTCTCATTTAGAGGTTGCGCGCCAAATGCTTTGACGGCATGTTAAACGCGACACACTTTGCCCTGTGATAAGCCCTGGTTCAATGAGATGGTGTGGAACATTTAAATAAATGAATATGCCAGAAGCTCAATAGGAGAGCAAGGACGTGTGCTAAATACGGCATATGTTTGTGCTTGTGCTTGGAATGCACGGCGTAAACTGTTTGAACTTGATAAACCAAGTTATGCACAGTACTGTTGTTTGCTGGCCTCGCGGCCTTGCTTCGGGTTCTAGCATAGGGCCCTCCTAACAACCTAAATGGACCTCTAGTGCTGTGTGGCATTCTGTTGGGGTCAAATTTTAAAGGAGAAGAGTACTGGGGAATTATCAAGTTCTGTTGCTTCTTATTGACATTGTGAATCATGTCTTCCTATGCCAAGCGCCTCTGGGTAAGTACAGCAACTACACAGGCAATCAGAGCCGCCACAATGTGTTCTCTAAGTTTTCTCACGTGCTGTCCAATGAGCAGCTCGAAGAAGACTTAGGAGATGACTATCGGTGGTCCTACCGGGTATCAGCTGTCCTTTTCTCTGGTAGGAGCTTATATCAGGAAGTGGACCTCGTGGAGACTCCTACATGGGGCAAGGTTGTGTAAATTTCAATTCGCTTTTGTGGAACTGCTATCTTGCTTTCTCGTTCTTGGAAAGACTGACGGCGCTGTTGCCTGCATTTCCTATATTTGCCTTTGTGGCTTGCAGGTACTGCTTTTAGATGGTAAAATGCAGAGCACTGAAGCTGATGAACAGGTATGGCTTTCATCATGGCCTCTCCAGGCTAAGGTTTTGTTTCCTGGTGGTTATCTTATTGTAATCATTATTATTGTTAAGAACTATAAGTGATGAGTGCGTCGTGGCTGCAGGTGTATCACGAGTTATTAGTGCATCCGCCCCTTCTGCACCATACCAACCCAAGACGAATTTTTATCATGGGAGGTATGTGTCATGATGCCCACAGCATGCTTTGCATTCTCCAGCTTGTCCTGGGGCATTATTGGTGTGGTCTGAGCAGCGGCTATAATGCCCCACTGGCCGCTCACCATGGGAATTTGCATGGCAGGTTCGGGAGCACTACCCTATGCGTGGCTATTCTGAGCTTTGGCTTACATGGCTATAATGTGAGCAGGTGGTGAAGGTGCGACTGCGCGTGAGGTTCTCCGACACCGTTCGGTTGAAGAAGTAGTAATGGTTGATATCGACAAGGTACGCTGTTCATCTGGGTCAGTGTTTCACATGGTATAAAAGCAAGACTGTTGCATTTCGTATTCAGGTTGTGACCGATTTCTGCGCCGAGCATCTCGAGCGCAACGCAGCGGCCTTTCGCGATCCTCGCCTTCGGCTTATCAATGACGATGCACGACGGCAACTGGAAGCATTTTCTGATGCCTCGTTTGATGTAATTATTTCCGACTTGGCGGATCCACTGGAAGGAGGCCCTTGCTTTCAGTTGTACACACAGGTGGGCTGTTGCCTTGCGCAGTCATGACGATGATATGGAAAGTTTAATATGCAAACATAATCTCATCAGGAGTTTTACAGCACAGTGGTGCTGCGTAAGCTGGCTCCTGGTGGCGTCTTCATCGCGCAGAGTGGACCAGCCGGTTTTTTGTCGTGTCGCGAAGTGTTTTCTACCATCCATGCGACTCTACGCGCAGTGTTTCCTACGGTAATACCGTATACCCAACACATACCATCTTTCTGCGACGCTTGGGGCTTCAACATGGCATTCACGGACCCGGAACAGGTAGGCTTGCTGCAGTTAGATACATAGCATGCATTTGGGCAAAGAGATATTACGAAGTGGGCATTCATTTGCGGATCATTAAGCTCAGGGAAGATTAGCATATTCTCGCCTTGGCGCTGTTCTCTTTTCTTCACAAGAAGTGCTGAGCAGTACGCCTTTTCTGTTGCAATGTTTTGTGCGCCTAGTAGGTACCACTTGGTATCGAGGTCTTTGACTCACAGGTTGAGAGTCGTATTGCCTGTCTACCGCTTAGCTTCTTAGATGGGGCAACGTTTACAGGACTTCGTCAGCTCAACAAGATTGTTCGGATTGCACTCGCCCAGGAAACTGAAGTGTACACCGCCAGGACAGCGCGATTTATTCATGGTGCAGGTGTGAAGACGGTCACTGAACGCCACGAGAATTGAGCCAAATTCACCGGTGATTATAGTAGGGACCTCTTTTCAAGTCCCCCTATCATGTAACGACTTCTGAAAACTGCTATGGGCATGAAAGCAAACCTGTAAAGGGTAAAAGCTCCTATTTTAATTCCTGTACAAATATAAACTGTTAAAGCATTGTCAATATTGAAATATGTCAGTGGTATCAGAAAGGTTACCGCAAGGAAAAATAGTGGCACCCAAGCCTTCATTGCGACGGTGCTTTTTGATCCTTCGGTGTCGACTCTTCCTATTATTGTGTTGCAGCATTTGTCAAGCGTTGGATTGTTCACTCTCTAAAGAGGGAAAATGACCTGAATTCTCTTCGTGAACCTTTTGGCACGGGGCGATCGGCGGATTACAACCATGGTCACACTTGGCAAGAGAACAAAAGCCTGCTATCTGGAGCAAGATCAGTATCCTTCAATGAAATTAATGGATGCAATGTGATTGTGATGTGTTGGAAATACAGGTGGTATTGCAATACATACCCTCTAATCTACATAAAGCTTGAAGAATTGTAAGCCATGATCAGGTGACGTCGCAGTAGCTTAAGCATTCAATTCGTAAGCAACCTGACGTACGGATACGCGGGAAGCTCTAGCCATGCCTGAAAAGGATGTGGACGTGGACTAGCGCTACGCTACGTGCTGCATTCTTGAATAGCGTTGAGGACGCTTGCCAGTAGCGTGTGTCCTTTTACAGACGTGACGTAAAGTGCAACGTCATTACTCATCAACACAACCAGTTAAGGTGGTGTAGAAAGACACCAGATACGACACCAGAGGCATCTAGTGTACGACCCGTACTATATAGTACGACGTCCTTAAAAGGAAAGGCAGAAGACTTGAAACCCTTTGAAGAGAAGCAACCAATTCTCCCTCAACAATTTGAGGTGGTGGAGGTAACTGAACGCTATTACCATCGGATACAGACGGAGTAACATTATGTATCCGTACAGCAGGAGGAAGATAAAACCGACACGTAACCATGTTGATCTTTACCTTCACAACAAAGATTCCCATAAATTGAGGGAGCAACAACATTCATGGCGTACCTAATACTCTTAAATAGTTTATAATATGACAGTTAAATGTATAATACAAGAAATGTAAATATCTATCAACAATTAGGGATGGTTGATGAATACATTTTTGCCCAATACTTAGAAGTGAAAAGCAGGGGTAACTGTTTACAGAATATTAGGTCCAAGTAGTATGATGTGTGAAACAGGGGGGTACATCTTCGCCCCTGGCAGATACCCTGCGAAACCCTGCCTTCCCCGGTATTTCGGGGCACCCTCATCCAGTCACCCTAGTCATCTTCTCAGTGGATCGCTCATCTGGTGGTCGCCACCAGCATCCAACGGAATCTGCTGGGTCGACAGCGCCCCAACTCCAATCCTGGTCGGCCCGCAGGTTAACTTTATCCCAGGTCACCACCGTCCATCAACTAGGGGCGCAATGTCTTCCACCATCGGAAGGATTTCTGACCCTAACGGGTATCGATCCTGGGATCTCCCGGGGGCAATAGTCGCGCGTTACCAGTAGTGCCAAACCCTACTGTATAGTATATCAGTATTGGAAAAACAAACTGGCCATCAAGTATCTGCATTACATCCAAGAAAAATGTATTTACGCAAAATTTTCCATCCATAGTTGGAATCCAAATAGATTAAGCCATGGTTGTTTATTTTAACACAGATTCCAGTTTTACAGGGGAGGAATCGGCTGGAATACACATTCATGGCAGTAAAATAGTAATGATGCTTTTAAATGTTTCCCTTGGTTCCCGCTCATTCCTTCCATGATTGCATGTCGGTGGCCAGGTGGTCTTGGGGGGGATGTGCGGGGTCGTGGGGCTGCCGCCCCACTTCCCCGCACTTTCCCCCCTCTCCTGCCCCTTGTTGTTGGAAAGTTTTAGGCGAAAGTTTTTATCGGCAGGCATTAGCAAGCATGTGGACTGTGTGCCTTTGCCAATTATTGGAACGGTTTGTTTTCTTGCATTGGTCGTACAGTGCAAATTGCCCACACATTGCTAGTTGTTGCAACTTCCCGACTCTCCACCGCTGCTGCTGCTGTAAGGGGGCTGGGCCGTCACTGACCGGGGCCAGCGGCGTGTGCAGGGACTGCCATTGACTGCAGGTGTTGGGGTGGAAGGGGTGGTGTTGGGGTCGCCAGGGGTGGGGCGGCCGCTGGGGTCGGCAGCATGGCGGGTGGTGTAGAGCCGCCGATGGGGTCACTGCCGCCGGGGCAGGCGGGGCTAGTGCCGAAGCGGGTGCCCGCCCGTTGTGAACCAGGCCGCGGCGGTTGTCATCGAAGGTGACATCGCTGCTCACAGTCACCATGCCCTCGATATGGACGCGGTGGGTGGCTGTGCCGTGCTCCGGTGGGCGGTAGGTTCCCCCCTTTGCACGAGGACCGAGTTTGTCCTGCTGGCTGGCTGGGATGCGGATGTAGGCCAGGCAGCTGAAGGTGTGAAGGTGGCTGACGTCGGGGGGGATGCCGTGATAAGCTGCCCACGGTGTGGCCTCCTGGCCCTGAGAGGGGGCCACATTGTGCAGGAGGTTGGCGTAGAGTGCAGCCTCCAGCCAGTAGCTGATCGGGAGTGCTGTGTCATGCAGCATCACCTGTGCACGGTCGAGGAGCGTGTGGTTGAGTAGCTCCACCGCTCCGCTCTGCTCTGGGGTGTACGGCGCCGAGTTGGTGTGCACGGTGCCGTGCTGGTGCAGCCACTGCTCCCATTGCTTGGTGATGTACTCACCGCCGTTGTCGCTGTGCAGCATGTGCACCCATGCATGGTTTGGGCGGCGGGCGTCCAGCTGCGTCACCATGTCCTGCAGCACTTCGCCTATTGGCTCTTGCTGGCCAGCATGCGGACGGTGGACAGACAGGTGGGACCATCCAGCAGTGTTAGCAAGAAGCATGCGCCCCCTCGGCCCATGGCCGGCATGAGCCCGCACAGGTACACTCTGACCAGGTCAGAGTGTACGACCTCCAGTGCGACCTCCAGTGCTACGGCCGGTTGCCACGGCTGGGTTGGGCGGCTGCGGTGGCCTTCACGGTGACACAGGCCTTGTAGACGGCCTCCACCGCCTGGCGCAGTGCCGCTGGAGTGACCTGTGGTCCCTGCACCAGCTGCTTGCTGATCAGCTGCTCCAGCACATGGTAACTGAGGTGACCATACTGGCAGTGCAGGCGCTGTGCTGCCACAAGTTCGGCGACTGAGTATTCAGCAGCCCCGGGGCTGCCGTTGCTTGGTTGCCCTTTGCCATTGCTGTCACCGTCTGGCTGGCCTCCACCAGTGTGGCTGCTGGCGGTGCTGCCACCACGGGTGCTGAGGATGGCGGTGGCACTTCTGCCAGCGCTGCTACCTGTGGCCTGGCCCCTGCCAGCTCTGTCGCCCATGGTGCCGAGGGCATTGATGGTGATGTCGGTCGGCGCCTGCAGGTCCACGTCCATGCATAGTGCCCTGGCTCGCTCCATGTGGTAATAGATGGGCTGTTATGCGGGAGGCTGATGCGTGAGAACCAGGAGCCTGCCTTGTCCATGCTGAACGTGACCGAGCAGCCGCGTGTCATGAGGTCTGTGGACCTCTCACGATTATCTCGCTACGGAGCTGCTCTACCCGCTTACTTCGTTCTCTACCGCTTACTTCGTTCAGCGGGTAGAGCAGCTCCGTAGCTCTACCCGCTGAACGAAGTAAGCGGTCATCTTCCCATCGCGCATGCTCAGCTGCTTCTGCGGCTCCAACCGGCTCAGCCGGGCCTGGGATGCAGAACGGAACTGTTGCTGTAAGAGCTGCATGGCGGTCTGGCGATTCCTGAGCAACTGCTTGATGGGCAGTCCACAGGACAGACGCAGGTAGCCGAGCGCCTGTGCGTCCTCCTGCAGGGTGTCTTGGGCGTTGCGGCCCGGATGCGACAGGTTGTTGATGTAGTCTTCAACTTGGACGTTGCGAGGAAATCGCCTTAGTCGCCGAGCCAGTGGGAGTAGTTCGACCCATCCGAGAGGAGGACACCCTTACATCCCTTCCCCATGATGGTTGCCTAGCGAGCATGACTGATCAAGCCGCGTTCCCCGCCACCTTTCTGGCAACTAGTTGATGGTATGATGCATCGTTGTTGCGGTGTACGAGGGCTCCTGATGTAACTTATGCCCTTTCAGCCTCCCAGGCATGTCCCCACTTGCCTCACAGCCACCGATGCATCTCACGGCGGGGATTTAATTGTGTGCGCGTTTGGATGCAGTGTTCCCCGCCACCTTTCTGGCAACTAGTTGATGGCATCATGCATCAATGGTCCAGTGTGCAACGTCGCCTGGTGCGATTTATGCGTTCGGAAGCCCTTTCAGCCTCCCAGGCACACTGTGGGCTGCCTCACAGCCAGCGGGGGTCTAATTGCGTGCACGTTCGCATGCGGCATATGTCCCGCCGCCTTTCTGGCATCTCTCTGATGGTATGATGAATCGTTGTGCGAAGAGTGATTGCTGCCAAGCATGTTATTCTCTCATGAAACAGCGTGAAGGTTAACGAACTGAGTATGCGACCAACACATAAAACATCGCATGTGAATTGTTATGTCATGCCATTAAACAAAGTAAATCGTGTGTGTTTGGTGTGTGTTAGCTTAGGCCACATTAAACTTGACGCAACGAGCCTTCATACGCTTGAAACGCAACATTTGTTTGCATGCGAATTGCGTTGCGACATATATGTTAGGCCGCGTTAATCTTTACGCAATCAGCCTTCATACGCATGAAACGCAACATGTATTCGCATGCGAATAGCCTTGCGGACTGTGTGCGTTTGATGTGCGATTGGACGCGTATTGCTTTGCTTTATGCATTGTCTCCCCACACGCATGAATCGGTATATGGAATCGCATGCGTGTCGCCTTGCTACACATGCGCGTATGCTTAACGTTTCAACATACGCACGGATGAATTGTTCAAGTCGACCAAAACGACGCAACTATATTTCCAAATGAACCTTTGCAATCTGAGAATTATAAAATTTTTTTAAAATTTTAGCCAGGAGGGCCGATTTCCGCTTTTCTATAGCCGTCGTGCGTTAGCTCTTTGCGTTACAAAAGCATGCTCATTCGCACCTAACGCTAAGATTCGCACCGTTACACGAACTAACGCGAACTAATGCGGACTTTACGCGATCCACCCGTCATAGTGTGTCGTAGTCATGGCGAGCATGACCACAATGCTGAACGTCAGCGATTGTACCGACAATGACAACATGTACTAGCTTTTTATTCACTATCAGTCCAAGGCTTTAATGAATGTATTGATTCAAGGATCAGTCTATCACAACGATAACGGCGAAGGAAAAGAAGCCAAACTAACCATACAAATTGTGGCAAAGATGTCATATGTATTATACAGTAAATGCTATTTTTGTACTGGGTTAAATACTGGCTTAACAGCGACGCAGATCGGTCGTGCGATGATGCCGTGCGAAATCTTGCCGCCACCGAAAAGTGCGTAACAGCATTACCTACATTTGCGTTTTTATGGCATTGTAAATTTGCATTTGATTAAGTGGTTCACCATTTTTGGCAGGCAAAATGGACGCTGACGCGGAACACAGTGCTTTAAACACACAGCATCAAGCACGCTACAAGGCTAAAAATCAATATGCTTAAGGGGGTGTTTCCACTTGGATTAAAAGTCGCGGATGAAGGAATTTTTAATCCGCGCCAATCCACCGCTAACCCGTCGGAGTGTTTCATACGTCTGGATTTAGAAACGGATTGAAGTACGACATTTGCCATTCCGTGCATAATATGCAAATTCGAGTATTGCCAGACATTTAAAAGACTATCAAGTATCAACATGAAGACTTTGCAGCACCTTTGAACGACACCCACGGTGTGGTGCATAATGCCGAACAAGAAGCACGAAACTTCCACAAAACTAGGAACATCTACAGCCTTTATTAAGGATAACCTCCCAACCTATCAATCAGGCTTTTTACGAGGCGTCCTAGCAGGCGTAAGAGCACCGATGACCTCGCGGACAGCCAGGTAGTTAAGCCAGCGCTTGGGTGATTTTGAGAAGACCTTGTGTGCTGCACGGATAACAGCGTCGACGGCTGCAACCGCGTCACGTAGCATCTTTGGGCTGTTGCGCTTGGTGCCGGCGTCCTTAACACACAAAGCAAGGCGGTGACTGGTGCAGTGAACGCCATAACAAGCGCTATTGACTTCCTTGCGAAAGAATCCAAAAACACCCTTCTTCTCCGAGGCAACGGCAGATCAGCCATCTCCAGAAAACGACACGAGCTTCTTCTCCAGGTCCACACCCCGCCGCCTGAACTCCCCAGAGCAGGCGTCGTACAGGTCGCGGCCTGTCCAGCCTGATAGCTTCACAAGCCCAAAGTACTCCTCGAAGATGGTGCCAGTAGAAGGCTCGTCATAGATGACACAGATGGCGGCGTGGGACTCAGCTGCACGTTGGGTGGCATTTCACACAGGCGCTCCCTCAAATCAATAAAAACCAAGGCTTCCTTACCAGCAATACACGTGGACTCGTCCATCTGGATGCCAATGAACGTTGCGTTCTTGAGACGCTTGGTCTGCTCGCCTTGGTAGTAGTCGTAGATACAAGCTGTGAACCTTCCCAACGCACGAGGATCATCGTACTTGGTGGTGATGTTAGGGGCGTTGGCAAACAGTAGGAGCTCACATAGCTTGTCATAGTGATTGAATGGCATCCCAGTGGCAACGACAGTATAGGCGGCCCCAAACAAAGCCATCAACGCCTCGTCCCAATCTGAGTTATGGATGCCATCAGCTGCTGCTGAGTCTCCTGGGCCCTCTTGTCCTTATAAGCTGTCACGGCTTTGCTGTGCTTTTCCTCCCTCTCGTGGTGTGTGAATGCCGAGCGATCCCACTCACAATGGACTAAGTTAAATTCCTTCTTCTGATGCCATGAGCAGTGCCAACAGGTTGCTGTGAAGTACACCTTGCCATCTCGTTGCGTTCCTCTCTGATTCTTGAAGTAAGCCCAGCTGGAAAACTCCTCACCGCCGGCCTGTGCTAGGAAACCCTTGTCCTCGCCAGGAATTTCTGGACGCTCGCAGCCTTCAGGAAAAGGCTGAAGCTCCCGCCTTGACACTCGAAGCCGGGACAGCATCTTGGTAGCAGCGGTGGCGATGGCGGTTGAGGGCCCAGGGTCAGCATGGGTGGCGGGTTCTGCAGGGCCTGTGGGAGCTGACGGGACCACGACCTTTCGACGTTTTTTGGCGGGTCCAAGAGCCTGCTGTTCGGTATTGTCCTCGTTGGCAACGGGTATGGGAGGTGGTGGTGGTATGGGCACAGGCGGAGGTGGAGAAGGTGAATGGTGGAGCGGTGAAAGCACTTCAGCAGTTTGGGAATCAACCTCCAGCCCTGCCGCAGGAGCTTCTAGGTCATTGACGTCCGGTTGTTGCTTAGGTAACAAATCTGCAAGAGTGCGCTGTTTTCCAGCCCAGACGTCGCGCAATGTGGCAGCTCTGCCAGAGCGTGAAAGCGCGGACTTGGACCTCCCTCTGCCACTAAGGATGCATGTGAACGGAGCTAAAGTTAAGATGAGTAAAATGAGCCAGCACCAGAGCATTCTGAAAGCGTTTCGGGGCTGATGCCCTTGGTCAAGGTCATCAATTGACTGTTCGTTATGAGAATCTCTCAAAGCTAGTGTTTACCTCCTTGTAAAATGGAAGGTTTGGTAACCTAATGATGAAGTTCATAGCTTCAAAACTGCGCAAACCTGCCCTTTGCGGGGAATTTCTGCACCCTGCCGTACGGCTGCCGTACCAGCGATGAAGAATAGAATTGAATTTCTGCAACAGGTACAACGGAAGGACCCGCTGTACCAGCGCCATTTGCCGACCCCTGGAGGCGTCGTGAAAAGTGTTAATCCGACATTGTCAATTTGATATCTGGTGGACCAGCACGACAATGGCATCCCCATCGCGTTCGGGGTGATTCCAAGTGCAGAGGGTAAGGAAGATGTCCAGGGCTTCATCCAGGACGTTGAGGACCTCGTGGGCCGGTCACCGGCAGGGCCCCGGGCGGCAGGCCTGCCCCCGCTGGCGCCACGCGTGCGGACTCAGCCGGCGGAGACGGGCATCGGCGCGGGGACGGCTGGCATGGCGGCGGTTCAGCTGGAAGACGATGAGGACTACTGTGTTATTGTGGAGTAGTCATATAGCGGTGTGTATGTTTGGTAGCTGTGTTGAGACATTAGCCCCTTTGTGTTTTTAGAAACTGAACTGCGAGCGAGGGTGTTGACCGGCGAGCCGTTATCCCCGTTTTTGTTTGTTTTACCAATATGTGTTTTGCTTTGCTGTTTTGTGACGATGGCAAACTTTACTGGCATTGCGTCGCACGACGCGTGGTTTTCGTGATGCAAGCAGATGGCTCGGGTCCAGGACAAACTCCATGGCTTTGTTTATTTCCGTTTACAGCTATGTTTTCTGTAACCCTTTAAGTCTATTTCTGTGCCTGAGCCTGTGTCCCGGGACGGTTGCGCTTTCATGGCACCGGCAACTGTGGTGGCGCCAGAGGGTTGCAAAAACGGTCTAATCCCCCAATCCCGGGGGGTGGTAGTGGTCAGCCATCCCCCCATCCTGGCTGGGGTGACCGACTCCCATCTCCCATCTTAGGGGCCCGGTGCTAATCCCATCCCTTGAGACAGGTTTCCCATCCTGCCAGCCTGGGTCCCATCCCCAATCCTATGGCCAGGGTTTCCAATCCCATCCTGCAGCTGTGTTCCCCCAATCCTCAACCTGCCAGCCAGGGTCCCTTCCCAATCCCTTCGACCAGGGCCATCCCCATCCTGCAGCTGTGTCCACAACCGAAAGCTGTCAGCCAGGGTCCCATCCCCATCCCTTGCCAGCTACAAACCTACTCCTTACATTTACACAGGTGCTGTAATATCGGCTTTCTCTTTAGGCGTAAATTTAGGGGCATTGACCAGGGTTATTTTCTATTTCCGCGAGGTATTTTCTCTAGCTCTATGGCTTATTTCCTCTAGCGTCAAATTCCGCCCGGCTGTGTTCGTTCCGAAGCAGACTGAAGCGACAAACGCTCGTTGAAGCGGATCTCGACTGAGGAGGAACTCGCATCACAGAGATCTACGTATCTAATTGCACACTGGCTGCTAGTGCAAATAGCGCGTCCTAAGGGGGAAGGATTGTTATGTTCGATAGACGGCCACAACAACAAATTATAATGCTGTGCTTAGAATGGCAGAACATACAAGGGTGTTCTGTCAAAAAGTCCATGGCTGGGAACGTGCTGATGATGGCGAAGGAACGGGTGCACCATTGGTTCACCCATAGCATAGGTCTTCAGCTGCACAGTCCGGCGCCAACATTCCACGTTGGGTGCGCCAAAGCGCTACGACAAACAACCTGATAACATTACATTAAGCCAGACAGTCCAATTGGAATGCTTTTGAGTCGACTTGGACATCTGCGCAAGAATTGCTCCTATGCACTAATGTGCAGAGATACGTGGAGTTGTGCCACAACAAAACAATGAAGACTGCAAATTTTCTCAGAGTTGTGCATACTGGCTTGGGAATGCGGTGCGGCATAATGCGGCCAGCATCTTCGCACCTTGCAACTTCAGCTCAGTTTGCATGAATATAACCAATAAAACATCACAGTACTAGAGAAGCAGTTTGTTTGAGGAAGTACATGAAAGCTGAACAACTAACTCCAGAGTGGGCCTCACTTTGAGCCAGGACCCCCAAAGCGGCTTGCTGTTGATAACGGCTTGTTGGCTTAGATGCGACGGAGCGAAGCGACCGGGGCTTCTAAGGCTGGTTCTGTGGTGCTGTCGTACAACTGGGTCGCAGTGGCGACTTCATTCTTGCTGCTCTCCTGGTGAAGTCATTCTGCCTTCACGCAGAAGAGCATACAGCCTTGTCCAACTAGTCAGCGTGACAGGCTGTACTTGGACCCCCAAACCGGCTTGCTGTTGATAACGTCTTGCATGTTGATACGCCTCCTGCAGACTTGTCCCCCAGTAGGGTCTGCAGATTGCATACAGATTTCGTTCGGGTCTTATTCAAAGTGTCCCAAACTTCGTCTTGGAAGACGCCCACATTGTTAAGCGCAAGCTAGTAACAGCCCGACGACCATTTGTTATCTCTTCCAGAATGGCACCCGATGGTGCCCTGGATGTGGATGTGCATGGGCCGGACAAGGTAAGAACGGGGTTGGACTGCGTCTGACTGAAGAACTGGCAGGGTGCACCAATGGTGCACTTTTCTCACATTTACACCAAGTCGCGTTCCATGCCTGTTCTCTTCCCAATGGTGTTAACCTTCTGCAGAAGCGTCAAAAGCTGGCAAAATTGACGGGGTTGGGCTTCGCCAGGGACATGGCCGAAGTCATCGTGGAAACGCTTGGGATGGACCCCATCGGGCAGTCGGCCGATGCCGCAATCGCCAAAACATGGTCTGAAGAAGGCTTGGTGGACTTGGCGTCAGTGAAGACCGTGGCTGGCGGTAAGAGCCACTTCAGCCTAATTTGGTTTCACCGCTTGCTGAACAGGACTGGACAGGACTGACCAGGACTGACCAACCACTACAGGGTATACTTTATCCGACGCTTGCGCTCTTTGCAATGGGTCTTGTTTTAGGTCGATGCCTACACCCATACCAATGGAAGTTTGGGACCCTGGCATGTAACCGACTTTGTGAGCCGCTGCCTGTGACGCCGACTCCATTCGGTTTTGTTTTGAACGAAAGGTGCAAACTTGCTGTTTTGTCACCGCCTGCTTTCTGTCTTCCTTGCTGGCACAGAGGTCGAAGTCAACGCACGGCTGGCGGATGCGGATTCCGAGGTGGCAATCAAGTCGCTGAGGGCCCTCACCCCGAACCTTAAAGCTCTCCAAGCCCTCAAGCTTGCAAAAGCAGCATGTGCCCCGACTGCACAGCCCGCTGACGAGTTGGGCGAGGATGCGTCACCACGGCTGGAGAAAAAGCGCAGGACTAATGAAGAGATGGCCAAGGCCGTGTGTTTGAGTTTGGTTTGCTATGGGACGCGACTTATAAGCAGAACTTCCTTGTGTTTGAGTTTGGTTTGCTATGGGACGCGGCTTATAAGCAGAACTTCCTTGTGTTTGAGTTTGGTTTGCTATGGGACGCGACTTGCAAGCAGAACTTCCTTGTGTTTGTTTGAGTTTCCATGTAAGCAACTATGGACAACTAAACCATTCATCCTTGGCCTGTTTTGCAGTCCTGTCAGTATTCCCAATTCTGCACCTGCAGCCTCATTTTACAGCAGAACACCCAATTCTAATCCTCCAACTGTGTTCCCAATCCTATGGCAGCGAGCTCATCCTAAACTTGCGAAAGCCTGCAATCCCCGTCCTGTCGACCAGGGTCCCATCCCCATCCCTGGCCAGGGCTCCCAATCCCCTCCTTGGTCAAGGTTGCAATCCCCATCCCTCAGACAGGGATCCCATCCCCATCCTCACCCCCGACAGCAATCCCCATCCCAAAAGTAGTGTAGCACGCCTAATCCCTAATCCTCGCCCTGGGCCCCACATCCCATCCTGACGTCGTCAACCCTATTCCCCATCCCGCCTGACCAGTACCTGCCCCCAATCCCCCATCTCTGCAACCCTCTGCACCCACGATGAAAGGTATGCACGTAAATTCGCCCGTGCACCGAACGCCTTGTAACGCTTCAGCTGCACTCACAATACATTATACTGCTACACTATTCTCTCCAGTCCTACCACATTATATTTCACCGACGTACTTTGGCACCTTCCACAACAATACATGCTTCGTAAACGCGGTCAGCTGCTTCACCAGGGCCCCCATATTTAAACGCCTTATTTTGCGGTATCACCATTAGTGGATCACCATCATCATATAAGTACAATACAGGTCGGGGAGTGCACATCACACAGCCAAGTACAGCAGTGATCACGTCGTACATCGTCATGCATGCAGGGATGGGGAGGCAGAGTTGGGGGATCCCCGAAAGACAATATGACTGGACATGCATGCCAGCATCGGGTGATCAGCAGGCCCATTTCCGTGAGGGAATGCCCAGCAACGCGAACAACACAAGATGTACCCAAAATCAGCCTTCAGAAACAATGCGCACCAACTTAGCACGAGAGAGGGCAGTACGTGAATCCCAATCATGGTACATGTGATGATGGCCACGTTCCAAGGCCGCCAGGTTCACCAGGGCAACTACATCCCACACCTGCGAGTGCTAATCCGGGGGATATGATAAACCATAGGTGATGGCGGTAGAACAACATGCCCTCAGTGCCAGTCGTCATTCCCACAATGTCGCCCATAGTTTCCCCTAAGCGACCACACAACAATACAGTCCCAGAACAGGTGGCACTACACCCAGCACAAACCCTGCCCTGTAACCACCACCCCACAAGGGCAGTGGGTGATGGGGACTCCTGATTGCCTGGCATGGCCCACTACCATGGAAAGTACTGCAATGCCATGGATGGCAAGTCTCCAGAAGGACTTCATATACATATGGCTGTTCTCCATATACATATGGCCGCAGCCGCGACGGACTCTGGAAGGTAGAGTGAAGCCAAGCCAGAGGGCCAGAGCATCTGGTGAGCGGGCAGGTCAACACATGCATCAGCGATGAAGGCCATGTGCTTTTCCATGAGGTGGTGAAGGTCAGGCGCAAGCTGAAGCCAAGTGGCGGCTTTGACTGTTAAGCTGAGCATGTGCACCAATGAGCCAGCAGCTTGCCACCATTCCAAACCCAGCAAGCGAGCACGCCACACATCCCGCTCAGGGGGGGGGGGCAGAAGGCCCGCTGAGAACTGGCTGAGCCGCTTCAACCCAACTGCCTGTCAGTAGGGAGAGGAAGGTGGTGAGGTCATTTGCTGCCTGCACACGACACACTGAGGGCGGTGTGCAGCTCCCTGTACCCCAGGACTCCATGCAGGAAGAGCTGCCTGAATGTGATGGTGCAGCCGTGGGTGATGCAGGGGGAGACGTTGGGGCCATGGTGCTGTGCATCCATGAGTGTAGCATGTACCCCTGCAAGAGCTATCCAGCACCATGGTGTGACCCTGATGGTGTGAGGCCCCACAGCATGACAAGGGCAGGGTTGCCCCAAAGTGGTGTCGAGTAGCACAAGAGCCCAAACATGGCAGCAGGGTTGAGGTGGTCCAATGTGTTGAATTGCACCCAGCCTGCTGCTCATGTGGACCCCAGCACCTGCCCATTGTGGAGGCACAGGGTGTGGCAGTGGTGAAGGAGTTGAAATGGGATGGCAGCCCATGGGGCGTTGGAGGGGAAGAGGCTGCAGGCACCTGCAAGACACTGCACTACAGTGACTGCATGCCGAGCATGTACATGTGGCACCAGCTGGAGAAGGCCAAAGCCCCCTACTGCCCCGCAGGAGATCAAGATGCATGCTAATGCCCACAAGCCGAGCATGCGGGGTGGCTGCATGCTGGGCAGGCATCATGGCCCAGT